AGCAGGTCAGTGTATTGGACCTACTGACATGCCCTCATGAATTGTTTCTCTTGTGATTTACAAACTTTTCACTAGTACATCTTCACTAGGAGGTTGTGGGGGCATTCCCGCAGAGCAGTTTTATGTTTGCTGCTGTCGAGAATCTCCAAGTTCACCTTAGGACGAGTTTTTCTGTTAATTTTTCATTTGGGGATTTCTTTGCCATAAAAGCAGTGTGTTCCAATTGCTCAGGCCTGGAGTTACAGTATTTTTGGGTAATTCATCTCACTCATGGTAGATAGTCAGCGTGCAACTTTCCAAGAGCAGTAGCTGGAGTGTTTCCCTTTCTGGCTTTAGTGGCACACAGCTCTTTGTAGTGCTCGGCTTTGTGCAGAGAGCCCTATTCCAGTGTTCAGCCCTGTGCAGGACTGAGGCTCAGCATCTGTTTATGGTAGACCCTGCTCCAAGCCCGTGGGGCCTCAGTCAAGGCCTGACACATTGTTGGGGGTGGTCCTTGGCAAGAGTGCCTGCTCATTTCCCACCTATTCTTCTTTTGAGACAGAGTCTTGCTCTGTTACTCAGGCTGGAGTGCAGTGGTGTAATCTCAGCTCACTGCAACTTCCACCTCCTAGGTTCAAGTGATTCTCCTGCCTCAGCCTCCTGAATAGCTGGGGTTATAGGCACTCACCACCACGCCTGGCTAATTTCTGTATTTTCAATAGAGATGGAGTTTCACCACATTGGCCAGGCTGGTCTTGAACTCCTGACCTCAGGTGGTCTGCCTGCCTCAGCCTCCCAAAGTGCTGAGATCACAGGCGTGAGCCACAGCATCTGGCCCCCACCAATTCTTTTAAGTCCATTCATTTGGTTTTTTGGTTTTTGGCTCCTTCTCTCTCTCTCTCTTTCTTTCTTTCTTTCTTTCTTTCTCTTCCTTTCTTTTTTTTTCTTTTCACCAAAACCAAATACTTCTGAAAGGATCATTCATTTATTGAACAGTTTCCTCTTCATTTCTGTGATTTACTTTCTAAGCTTCCAGTCTGGGTTATATATTAAAAAAATTTTAATTATATTTTATCCAGTGGTTCCATATGATTAGAGTTAGAGGAGAGCCTTTCCATGTCAGCTTGATCCCTGATATTGTCCTGAGGCATTAGATTATTTTCTGGATTTGCCTTGGTCTGGTGTCTTCAAATTGGATTCACTTTTTATACATACAGACACTCCCTTGACTCTTTAACCATGTATGTTTTATTTTTTTATCTCCCTTGTTAATAATCCTCAATTTAGTACTCTGTGTGCATGGCGCTTATCTGGGGTCCTATAGCACAGACACACAAGAGGGGTGGGATAGTCTCCCAGCATGACCCCAAAACATCCCTGGTCTTCAGGCCACTCAGATGGCTGTTCTGGATAAAGTCAGATAACTTGTCACAGGTGACATCCTGTCCCAGTGACATGGAGACACGCCTGGGGTCTGTGTGACGAAGCTCATACCAAATCACCTTTTGGTATGAAGTGACTCTGGCTTGGTTATAGTCAATTCTCTGCAATGAAGGCTACTCTCTGGCAACTGCTTTTCTCATTGCTAACATCTTAACAGTCATTCTTTGCAGTAAAAATGTATCTGCTCATTGGTATTTTCTGTTTGCGGGAGTGAAAGGGAGGAGGTAAAACATGCTGAGCTGTAGCCAGTTACTCACAGCTTTCCTGGTAAAATAGCAATTATTATTCAGTGTTTTTCCTCCCTGTTCACAACGGACCTGACCAGGTATAACAAAAACACACACCTGAAATCCTAAACCATGGGCCAGAGCCACATAGGAGAGTGCAGGATCTTGGAGGAAGAGAGACGGGGAGAGTTTGGATAGATTTACTTCCTTCTGGGCCTGTTATCCACTTGCCAAGTAGCTGCAGATGGGACCTCAGTTCCTCCTTCCAGCTGGGAATGTAATATCCATGATTGTTCTTTTTATGACAAAACCAGGAGGTAATGGAAAGTTTGGGTGGCCCGAAGATAAGGTTAAAAGTGAGTTTCACCTGTCCAAGCACAAGGCGTTCATGAAGATTTCAGGAAAGGAGAAGAAAGAAACACAAAGGAAAGCCAGGCAAGGAGAGCTCATCGTCCCTCCTGCCGGCCTTTGCCTCTAGAGGGAGAGCGGCGAGTATCACAGGAGTGGGACTGATTCTCTGCAGGGTGGGCCTGTTGCTGGGGATGCTGTGCTGTGCTGTTGTGACTGTGTGGATGGAGCAGGGACTGTAGTCCTGAAAGGGAATGGAATGGCCCCCTACAGAGCCAAAGATTGCCTCTTTACAGAGGGGTGCCTGCCCAGACCTGCCCTGGTGAGGCTGCTTTTTGATGGCAGTTAAGGCAGGGTCCTCCTAGCTGTTTTCTTTCTCAGGCATGCGGCTTGAATTAGATTATAGAGCCTTTCCCTCAGGCCTGTTAGTGCTCGTTTTCCATCATTCATTTACTCTGAAAGAGGCACTTCCTTAACACAGTTAGACACCCTGCACAGTCTGGCCGAGCCTGCCTTCTAGGCTCCTCGCCCATCCTCACCCCTTACTCTGCACCGCAGCCCCAGCCACCTTCTGTCCTTGGACTCTGTGCTCCCTCCTGCCATAGGACTCTTGCACATGCTCTTCTTTAGCTGGGACACTCTCACCTCCTCCCTTTACTTTGTGAACCTATTTGTGAAACAATATAAGCTCTCTCTTCCAATTTTGTTAGCTCTAGATCGAGCTGAAACTCTTAGAGCTGTAATGGAAAGTAACTTCCTTCAGGAATGGGGCCAGCTGTAGTTTCCACAGAAGACTGAAAAGGAGATCACCCAATATTTCAGGAGAAAGGCTTGGTATTAACCTATTACTGATAGGACAAGTTTAAATAGCAGAATGGATCAAAGCCTTGCTATTAACCTATTACTATATGCACAAGTTTAAATAGCAGAATGGATCAAGCAGAAGAAAGGATATCAGAGGTTGAAGACCAACTTAATGAAATAAAACGACAAGACAAGAATAGAGAAAAAAGGATGAAAAAGAATGAGCAAAGTCTCCAAGAAATATGGGACTATGTGAAAAGACCCAATCTACGTTTGATTGATGCACCTGAATGTGATGGAGAGCATGAATCCAAGCTGGAAAATACTTTTCAGGATATTATCCAGGAAAATTTTCCCAATCTAGCAAAGCAGGACACTATTCAACCCCAGGTAATAGAGAGAACACCACAAAGATATTCCTCAAGAAGAGCAACCCCAAGGCACATAATCGTTAGATTCACCAGGATTGAAACGAAGGAGAAAATACTAAGGGCAGCCAGAGAGAAAGGCCAGGTTACCCATAAAAGGAAGCCTAATAGACTTACAGCAGATCTCTCAGCGGAAACCCTGCAAGCCAGAAGAGAGTGGGAGCCAATATTCAATATACTTAAAGAACAGAACTTTCAGCCTAGAATCTCATATCCTGCCAAAGTAAGCTTCACAATTGAAGGAAAAATAAGATCTTTTATGAACAAGCAAGTACTCAGAGATTTTATTACTACCAGGCCTGCTTTACAAAAACTTCTGAAAGAAGCATTATACATAGAAAGGAACAACCAGTATGAGCCTTTCTAAAAATATACCAAAAAGTAAAGAGCATCAACATAAAGAAGAATTTACATCAACGAATGGATAAAATAGCCAGTTAACATCAAATGGTAGTAACCCTAAATTTAAATCGACTAAATCCCCCAATCAAAAGATACAGCCAAAACCTAACAGTATATCCAAAGATACACAAAGACTCAAAACAAAGGGTTGGAGAAAAATTTACCAACCAAATGGAGAGCGAAAATAAATAAATAAACAAAAAGCAAGAGTTGCAGTTCTCACATTTGATAAAATAGATTTCAAAGCAACAAAGATACAGTGGTAAAAAGATCAATGCAACAATAAGAGATCTTAATACCCAGATACATAAGACCCATAACATCCATAATGAGATTTAGACTTAACGAGACAGAAAATTAATAAGGATATCCAGGACTTCAACTCAGATCCGGAACAAGTAAACTCAAGAAATATTTATAGAGTTCTCCATTTTAAATATACTAAATATTGATTGGCCATTATTAATACCCATTTTTTAGAATGAAGCAATATTCCTATTCTCTCTCCCTCTTTTTCTTCCTCTTTCTTCCTCTCCTTCTCTCCTTTTTTTACTTTTCAACATCCTAGTTCTACTCAATACATTCCTCTGAACACCTGATTCCTTGTGATTCTCCCTTCCCACTGAAACCTCCAATCCAAAAAAAAAAACCTATTACTGATATGCAATACTTGCTTCTTTCCCAATTCCAGATGTCACTTTCCATTTGAAGATGCTTAGTTTCTAAATAATTTTTATTGCATTTAGCAGAATTGGTAGTTTGTCAGTACAATATTTAGAAATGGATGAAGAAGCAGATAAGATGTTTTCATTCGTGTTCCATTGAGCATTTGTTCGTGTGCCTGCACATCCTGGTTACTGAGTGGGTTGACATGATGAGGTTATGTGATCCTGTGATCCTTTGTCACGTGGCAGCAGCAGTAGAATCGATGTAGAAGCTGGCTGCATGGAGTAACTCCACTTACATCGCCCTCACTGAACATAGTCCCCGTTCCTTAGCCCAGAGGACATTTCCTCACCATTCTGCCTAGGCTGGCCCACACCTTGGGTCCCACACATCTTTCAAGGCCCATTTCAAGTCTTCCTCCAATCACTTAGCCTACTATTATCTCTGTTTCCTTTGAACCATTTGCCTGTACCATTCATTTACAACTTGGCGTATGCTGCCTTGCCTGCAGTTTAGGGCTGATGTTTGGAGAGTAAGGACTGTGTTATTTATTTTTGCTCGCTGTGCCTGTCCTATGGGCATGTAGTAGGTCCTGGGTAAATATTTATTGGTGCCTCTCAAGGCACTCAGTGAATGCTTAGAACACTTGGTTAAGATTTACAGACAATGATGGAAAAGTGACTATTCTCTTCTTTCTCTCTAGTTACAAGTTGTTTCCAAATTGCGTCCCCTCCTTTGGGTTCCGCCATCTGCTGCCTCTCACAGACAAAGTGGACAGCTTCAATGAGGAAGTTCGGAAACAGAGGGTGTCCCGGAACCGAGATGCCCCTGAGGGAGGCTTTGATGCAGTACTCCAGGCTGCTGTCTGCAAGGTAACTTTCCTTTCTGGTCTGGACCCTGCACAGGGAGGTCAAGGTAGAGAGCATCAGTGGGCGTTGGTACTTCCCTGCAGGAGACTTCGAATGCCCCAGCATGTGGCTCCTGACCCCTCCAAAGTCAGAGAGTGAGCTCAGTGGAACCTCTGGGAAATCTACAGCAATCAAATCAGCGGGAGCTTGGGAATGGATTGGGCTGGTGTATGTCTCTGTGTCAGGGTGTGGTTGTGTGCAATGGAGTACTGTCTGCCAGAAGACAACTGTTCTGCATGTATACCTTGGCTTTTTGGTTTCTTTTCAGGGGAAAAAAGTAAAGGTCCAGTCATAGGCATAGAAGCTTGTAGAACTTTCTGGATCAATTTTGGCAAACCTTAGAGATTGCTCTTTTGGGAAACCCAGTTGAAAAAGAATTGTGTGGCATCTTTGGTTGCAATTCTAGTTTTTTGTTTACCTCCTGCTTCTCTGTGATATATGAATCCAGAGGGTGGGCCTAGACTTAGATCAGAAATGAACTCATGCTCTGAGAGGTTCCAATCTTAGCAAAATATATAAATGGACTGTTGATAATAACGTAGTCTTAAAATAATTTTCTACTTTGAAACAACCCAATAACAACAACAGAAAAAAACCCACTCTTGAATTCACTATCATAACACATACTTTAAAAATGTGTGTGTCTCTTCCTAGTCTTTGTGTATACATTTAGACTTTTTCATAGTGGTCATCAATATTGTGAATAATTGGTAATGCTTTCTTGGAAATTCTGGCAGATTCCTCAATAGGTGGGGACTCTTTGGAGGCCAAGGCCGGTGGATCACCTGAGGTCGGGAGTTCAAGACCAGCCTGACCAACATGGTGAAACCCTCGTCTTAAAAAAAAAAAAAAAAAAAAAAATAGGTGGGGACTCTTCCATTTGGGGAGGGCAGGGTCAGAGGCTAGAACTCAGTCTAGAGAGCCTGCAGCTGCTATTCACTTATTAATGATAAGCACTTAATTGCTCACTTACATAGTTTCTGACCTCACAGCTTGAGTCTGGTGTGTCACACAGGCTCATGTTTCCTCTCCACTCAATCCTTGACAAGATGGGAAGAAAACTGCACTTGTCGTTTTTGAAATAAAAAACCAAAATGGCAGACGGAAATGAATAAGGAGAAAGTAAGATGTAAAGAAAGCAGCAGGGCCATCTGCTGTTCTCTTGGTCCCACTGTGGTTCTGCTTGTCACAGAGTCCGTGGGCCCCTCCTGGAGAAGAAGATAGCAGTGGCTTCCTGTCCAGGATGGCTGCAGTATGGCATCTTCCCAGCTGCTGGCCAGAGCCAAATGGTTTGATTCAGAAGTCCCTGGTGTCTTTTAGCAGTCTGAGAGAGAGCCACATGGAACATAGCTAGAATGTATTCAGTTCTGAACCTTTCAAATTTTCACAAAATAGTTTGTGACATTGATTCAGAAAGAAAAATTATTGTTTTTGACTGACTTTCAAAATTTCAAGATATTGACTGTAGGAGGTGTTTTCTCCACAGACATTCAGCCAAATTCTGTTCCTTGGTATGAAAAAAAATAGTGCAGGGAAGACATAGGATCCCCTTCATCTCCCCACCTTGAGGATTTTATGGATTTTCTTTCTTTGAGAGAGAAATTCTTTTTCTCTGAAGAAAGACCCCAATTACAGGCCTAAGCAGTGTCTGAGTATATTTTATTTAATTAGATAAATTGAAAGGGCATGATTGATCGCTTGGACCACAGTAGTCTTTGAGAAGCCATTTGATCTAGTCTTATGTCTATGGAACCTTCCTGTGCCATCCCTGATGGATGAACTCTTCAACCTTTTGAAAACTCAGTATTTCAAGACTCAAGCATTTCAGAGGCAATGCTAGCAGATTTTCTTAATTCATCATCTGGACCTGGCGAATTATTGTTGACGAATAGTCACTTTGTGAGCAAGTTTCGGTGTTGTACCTGTTCAGATTTTCTCTTATACCTCACCATGACCTTTACAAAAGGGAATACCTGGAAAGTTAATAATTGCTCAGAATTATGCAGCCGATCAGCCTCCAGCGTCTCTCTTAGCCTTTTCTTTTCCTTTGTGCTGTCAGTTTATGTTCAGGTGCATACTAAGCAATTTCTTTCTCATTTGACATCACCTATTCATAATATATATCATCCTTCCTGGCTCACCACAGCCTTTTGGTAACAAAAAATTGTAAGTAGTTTATGGAATACCTTTGGGATAAAGACTATGCAACAGTCATACTATCTAAAATATTTAATGACTTGAAAAATATGTAAGAGGCCGGGCATGGTGGCTCATGCCTGTAATCCAAGCACTTTTGAGGCCAAGGCGGGCGGATCACCTGAGGTTGGGAGTTCAAGATTAGCCTGACCAACATGGTGAAACCCTGTCTTTAAAAAAAAAAAAAAGAAAAGAAAAATATGTAAGATATTAGTATCAGTTGGCTCTCATAGTAACTTTGTTCTCTCTATGCTCCTTCTAGGAAAAATTGTCCTTAGGGAAGATACAACTCAATGTTTTAACATTTTAAGAATTTTTAGAATAATACATAAGATAAAGATGGGCATGGGAAGCTGGTTATAAAACAATATGGACAGTATACTTCTGTTTTGCAAACAAAAGAAAGAAAAATGTGGAAAAGATTGGAAATTGAACAAAATGATAACAGTAGTTGTCTTAGGTGACAGGATTATATTTTTGATAGGTGACAGGCTTATTTTCTTCTTGGTGGCTTTTTGTTTAATGTTTACCTAAATTTCCACAGTGAATACATATGATTTCTTTTTTTTTTTATTCTGGAACAGTTTCAGAATAAAGAACGGTGAAATGAAACCCCATGCTCTCACTGTTCGTCTTTAATGATTAGGAACTCATGACCAGTCTTGTTTTATTTGTATTCCCAACCACACCCATATTTGAAGCAGGTCTTGGCTATCATTTGTAAGTCCTGAGGATCCCTTACTTTGTTTACTGAATGCTGTGCCTCCTCCTGATCTGCCCAGATTAAAGGCCCTTCCACTGAATCCTGCAAACAGTGGAACAGAGGGAGAAGGCGTGGAATTTTGTGCAGCTGGCTCTGTGCCTCATAAGGGCTGGAGATGGCTGGGCAATTCCCCGGCAGCACTGCACGCTCTACTTCCCCTGACCCTGCGCCCTGGTTGGAGCTGATAACAGGCCTGTCTCCCAGTGCCATAGGGAACACTTTGTCCTGGCTTTATTCTCACTCTGGTTTCATTCTCATTCCTGTTCCCCTGGATGGGCTGTTAGGTATCAACTTGTTGGGATTTAGGATATGAAATATTCACATGTCTGACTTTAAATCCCACCTCTGTGGCTTGCTCTTGGAATGCTGTTCTTTGCAAAAAGAAGGGAACTACCTGCTTCTATTTAGGATTCATTTCATTTATGATAAGGACCCTGCTTCTATGAGTGGAAGTTTTGAGTTGCCTTATTTATCCCCTGCAGGTCACATTGCTATGAGAGGCCATCGAAGAGCATCCATAGCTAAGGGACACCTCTCTCGTCAAGGCAGGCATTTTTTCTAATGCACTGTTCCTGGCTGGGTTAGACTTGGAGAATGCCACTGCGCATAATTTCTTATCTTTACCCAGAGCCTATGATTGAACCTGTTTGTACTTTTTTATGTTCAGAATAATGGTTTCTCTGCCAGAAATTTGACTCTAAGTTGTTTACTCTGAAATTGTACAGGCAGAAGTGTGATGTGTGGTTCAGATTGGAAATATGTCTGCTTTTCTATTCTCTCAAAACAGGGAGTGCCCTTGGCCTAGGGAGGACAGGTGAGCAGTTGCCTGGAAGCTCTGGCTCCCAAGTTGTCAGTGATCACTTTGCTGTTCTTCATGGCTCCCAGGTTAAAGAAGTTGCACATTTGAGTTTGAGCTTGGCTGGGAACTTGCAGGCTGCATAGTGTTCTATGTGCTGCTTTTTCTGGTCAGCCAGAAAATAAGATCAGTGCAACCCAGCACGTTTCCCTATTTGTCTTCACTTCTAGAGCCTTGGCACTTATCCTTCGTATTCTTTAGACAGAGTTTCCATTTTAATCCTGATTCTCTTAATTTTGCAGCATGTGTTCCATTTTTATAGCATTTATGTCCTCTCAGAAATTGGTGGATGAAGAAGTCTTAAGGTAAATGTATATGTTGAATAAAATTTTGGGGGCAGGAATTGAGACCTTCATTTCTTCCCTGGCCAGAATATCTTATCTACAATGAAGACAACAGCCTCAGAAGAGCTGTGATTCTTGTTGGAGGATACTTACCAGAGTCCTACAGCATATTGGTAGGACTCCAAGGGTTGTTCCCATTTTATAGGGGTGGAAACTGAGTACAAGGATTAATTGCACTTAGTAAGGAGTAGAACCAGAATGTGAACGGGTCCTGTTGATTTGAAATCCTGCGCCCTTGTTATTACTCAGTGACTGTGTGCTCTGGGAAGTAGCAATAATGCACCATAGAGCAAGGGGCACTGCATTTATTTATTAAAAAAAATTTTTTTTGAGACAGAGTCTTGCTCTTGTCACCCAGGCTAGAGTGCAATGGCACAATCTTGGCTCGCTGCAAACTCTGCCTTCTGGGTTCAAATTATTTTCCTGCTTCAGCCTCCCAAGTTGTTGGGATTACAGGCGCCAGCCACCACAGCCAGCTAATTTTTCTATTTTTAGTACAGGTGGGGTTTCACTATATTGGCCAGGCTGGTCTCAAACTCCTGAGCTTGTGATCCACCCACCTCAGCCTCCCAAAGTGCTGGGATTACAGGCATGAGCCACAGCACTCAGCATAAAAAAATTTGTTTTTCATTTTCTTTTTTTTTGTAAAGGAGGTCTCTGTTGCCCAGGCTGGAGTGCAGTGGCGTGATCATGGCTCACTGCAGCCTTGCCCAACTAACATTTTTGTATTTTTAGTAAAGACAGCATTTTGGCATGTTGGCCAGGCTGGTCTTGAACTTCTGGGCCCAAGCGATCTACCCAACTC